CAGTTCGGTTGAAGGGGGGGTGTGTCTTGGGCACCCCCTACAATTCAAGACATGGGTGGATTGTGTCCCCAACAGCATTGATGGTTCGTGCTTTCTATCTCTTTGGTTTTTCACTTGAGGAAGAGAAGCATTTAGCCAGTGAAACAGAGATCCACTGAACAGCCTAGACAATTTAAACAAGGCTAGGATTCCTCCACTATGTGGAAATGTACTTAAATTAACATTTGAGATGAGGCTTTTCTTCTTCACATTGGTTTATAATTCACAAGATGAAAAGGGCATTTACCTTGAACCTATTGGATTCAATTTACCGGCACGGGGCTTTGTTAAGGTAAACAATCTGCATTATATCTTTACTAAGTTTCTATTTAAGAGAGATACCAAAGGTCAACTTTCTTTCTCAGTGTTCCTCCACCGTCAAGAATTCAAAAAGAAATAAAGAGATTTCTGCTGGGCATCTGATGGGAAACCAATTAGAAATTCTGATTCCCTACTTTTTTTTCCCTAACATCAAAACGTCCATTTTTCTCTTGACGTTTCTATGAAATTTACCGCTCTGGTTTATGTGCCTGCACACCCCTTTCCCCACAGAATGAAATGGTGTTTTACAGGGCACAGGTGCTGCAGTGTCATAAACAACAGCAGTCAAATTATACAGACGCACTTGCACATCAGAATGCCCACAAGGAATGGCCGTGTGCATATGGCTGAAGAGACATGATGTGTTCGCGGGGTAAAAGCTTAAGCCTCAACAGATTTCCTATGTACAAATCCTGGAGGAAAGGTTACAAAAAGAATTATTTCAAATATTCTGTTCCTTAGATCCCACCATGGGGAATCTAAGCGAGACACTAGATCCCTCACTGCTTCTTTAGTTATTCAGGTCCAACTATCCCTCGCCCCTTCCCTTAAAGTAGGCTTGATTAAGATACAGCAAATAGGAAAAAGTATCTCGCCCTCCCCGTGCTTCCAATGCTAGAACCGGATTCGTCCAGTTTAAAAAAGATTAAAAATTCAAGGTGAATAAGGCTTTCAGAGACTGCTAGTGAATGGCCTGTGTGCTGCATTTGGGGGAACAGGGGTGGTGGCAGTGGCTGCAGACCAACAAAGCATCTGTCTCTGTTGTTGAAGATGCTTGCATCGACGTGGCCACTAAAGGTCTCAATAACGTAGGTGTGTGCTCGGAAATTCAAGGTAGGACTTCAAGTGGCTGAGATTTTGAAGGAGGTGGCCATCTCGATGCTCTGAGCAGCAGCTGTGGATGGCTCTTCTCTCCTTCGGAGAATGCCCCTACACATACTTTGCACAGACTTATTACTTAGTATGGCTAGTGTATATTTTCCCCAGGAAGAGATTGTGGTCAAGCACAAATACGTGGCTAATACGCTGTCTTGCCCTTCTGACTGAGCCGTGGGGTCCAACTAGTTCAGGGCTCCCCAACCCCCGGGCCGTGGACCAGTACCGGCCCGCGGCATGCCAGCAACCGGTCCGCACAAACAAGCAAAGCCCCATCCGCGGGATGCAGGCAGCACACAAAACCACGCACCCTCCGGTCCGCGGAAAAACCTCTCTCCATAGAACCGGATCCTGGTGCCCAAAAGGGTGGGGACCTCTGAACTAGATGACAGGATATAAAATAAAACAAGAAAGTGCCACAAAAGCCTCTAGCTTCCTGCTGGTGTAATGCCAGTATCCCAATTCAAGCATCCCTGATAAGATGGCTGGTGCAGCCCTTATCTGAACATACCCAAGGAAAAGAAAGGTAGACCTTCAGTCTTGAATCAGCTCATCCTCTGTTTGTTAGGAGCAGGCTTGGTCCTGAAACCAAAGGCTACAATTCTAGGCCCCCTTTTTGTCATCGCACTTGTTCTGCAGGAGCATTTAATTTGGAACAAATATCCCTGGAATGTGATGTTTAGCGCCCGGGTGAAGGATTGTAAACCTGGGGTTCAGAATGAGCCACCCGTTAAGAAGGGAGTTTCGGAAAAGAGGTCTCCATCCCAGAAAAGAAGAAAGGGTAAGGAAGAAACTCATAGTAACTCTTCCTTGCTTTTCTTCAGTATAAGATGGGGCAAATAAACAATAAGTTAGGCCAGTGGTGGTGAACCTATGGCACGCGCCATCTCTGTGGGCACGCGCCATCACCCCAGCACACGTGGTTTCTAAATGTTTGCCATCACTGGCCTAAGGCCAGCCAGCCTGGAGCCGCCATTGCGGAGCCCACCATCCCACCCACCAGAGACCTCCTGGATCTCCCCCAACCCTGCCCTGCCCGGCTTCCACAGGTGTCCCTCCCCATAAGCAACATCAAGGTGGCCACGCCCCCCGGCTATGCCCACCCAGTCTGCCATGACTACTGCAGCCACACCCATCCAGTGGCCACGCTCACCCAGTCTGCCACGCCCACTGTAGCTGCGCCCAAGTGGGCCACACCCACCCGGCACCCGGCGATACATAAGTGGGTTTTGGGTTGCAGTTTGGGCACTCGGTCTCTAAAAGATTCGCCATCACTGAGTTAGGCTCTCAAGATTGTGTCATTCTGCCCTACAATAATAATGCTAATGTCTGATATGTCTGGAGTATCTATTTCCTGACGTGGTCTAGCTCAAAGGGCTGACACTCTGGTATTATGGTAACATCTCCTCTGAAATTCCACATTTTTCCCAACTTTATCCATCAGGGCTACCTTACTTCCAGCTGCTTGGCAACCCAGCTTCTTAGCTTTAATTTTTTGGCTGCTTAAAACAAGCAAAAAAAATAATAAATGTAGTGATGACCCCAAATTTGATTGTTATTCCTAGAAAAGCTCAGGAACTGAAGTTAGATTTGCCAAGTCTGCTCCAAACACCACCTCAACAACACTATCAAGTCATTTCCCCTCCTTTACAGCTTGGCCTAAGATCTTCAGGTTTTGTAACCATCAAGGAAGGGAGAAAAAAAAAGAAATGGGTATCATAAAAAACAATTATTTGCCAGTCGTTACAACACATATTTCTGAAGAGTTGCATGTTCTTCCTCTAAAGCTGGGGTCTTCAAACTTGGCCCTTGTATGACTTGTTGGACTTCAACTCCCAGAATTCCTCAGCCAGGCACACGTGCCTAGCTGAGGAATTCTGGGAGTTGAAGTCCACAAGTCATACAAGGGCCAAGTTTGAAGACCCCTGCTCTAAAGGAAGCCTGAACCCGCTTCTCTTTTTCCCCTCCCCTCCCACCACTTATAACTCTCAAAATATAAAATATAGACCATCTGTATTTAACTCGGAAGCACGCACTTTCCCCAAAAAAATATCATCTGGCGGCGTAAGTATAAATCGGGAGCATTTCACAACTCAGTGGCAGAGGAAAAGATACCCGTGAGAACACCAGACAAGGTCTTATGGTCCAGACCAGAGCTTGAGAAAGAGAGAAGGCTGCGGGAATTTGAATATACAGTCAGAGGTTCCCAGATGTTGAAAAATCTCAGCGATAACCTGTCAGGCACAAAGGTGCAGAGCCTTTGATGGAACAGAAGTGCAAGCCTAAGACCTGTCAAACTGCAGCACAACCAGACACGGCCAAGGCTGCTCCCACGCAGCTTTGGAATGGTTAGTTGGGATCATCTACATATTAAACAAATGTTGCAACAAAGAGCAGGCAGGCATGCATGCAAAACAGGAATTTTTTTTCCTCCCGCCCTTTCCTTAACCTTTGTGATCCTTCTCAAAGCAGGGCTCAAGTTGGGTTTTTTCCCCTTTTTTTTCCTTTTCTTCTTGCCACTGCTGGCAGCATTAAAAAACAAAAATCCGTTCCAATCCATCTTTCTCATTCTGTTGTTCTTCAAAAGTGTTAGGCTTGCCGACTCTCCAAGGACACCTGGATGTCCTTGAATGATGTGAAGTTCCACAGCTCTGCGGAGTACACCTGACAAGGATGTGTTAGCTTGATCCAGCTAAACCAACTTTCATTTGTTCCCTTTTTTGGGGGGTGGGTGGGTAGGAAAGGTACAGTAGATTTAACAGGGATGGAAAAGCTGTTTTTAGGGAGGAAGTGAACATGGGTTGCAGTATCACCAGCGTCCAGCCAATCTGACACGGTTGTCCCTGATGTTTATTTCAGAAGATTGTTTCAGTTAAGGAAAAAAAAAAAATCAACAGGGGAACTTTCACTAGGAATTTGCATTTCAAATCACCTAGGCAACTTGTGCCTGCAACATCTCCAATTCAGAAAAAGGCTCTTGCGGGGGGGGGGGGGGTGTCACTCTCCCCTCTTGAAATCCCCTCCCCATAGAAAAGCGAGCTGTGTGGGAGGGGGCAGAAAAAGCTTATCTTCATTCAGTTTCCACGATGGAGGAATTTTATTTTCTCCAGAGACAGGAGGCAGCTGTTCAGCAATTCTATTTAGTACAGATTAGGCGTTCGAAGAAGTCAGACATTTAATCGGATTTTACTCTGGCAAGTCGAGGAGCTGGCAAAAGGAAGAGGTCACTGGCAGGTGAATTGTGGGGCAAGTCCAAGGGAACAATCCCAGCCCCTCCGGACCTCTTGGAAGAGAAAAAAAAATGCACACCCCCCCCCAAAGGGAAGTAAAGACATCAACTTCAAGCTCAACTCAATGAACTGAGTTGACTCGAGGTACCAATTTACTCATCTAGCCTAGGCTGTGAGTGGGATTTCTCAGTGGTCTCCCATTCAGGCTCCAACCAGACCAAGCCCAGCTTAGTTTCCAAGCCCAGACAAGGGGTCCCAGGGGCCGCCCCCGTTAAGCCCCTCGGCTCAACCATTCTTCTGCACAATTGCCCTCCGAAGGGTACTTTCCCCAACTTAGCACTTAAATAAAAACGGGGGAGAGGGCCGTCCCGCTTCCGCGCTCCTCGGTCCTTTTCACCCCCCGTCGAAGTGTTGGAACCACGATGGAGACTTTTCTTCCAACAGAAGCAAGGAAGGAAGGACGGAAGGCAGGCGCCCGCTTCCCCCCATCCCCGCCCGGGGGGGAGTCCCGGAGAGCCCCGAGCCAAGCCCGGTTCAGATGAAGTGGATCCAGGCGCCTCCGCCGTCGGGTTCCCGGCCGCCGTCGGGCCGCTGCCTGCCCCGCAGCTTGTAGTTGTGGCCCTGGTTGTTGTCCCAGTACTCGGCGTCGGCCACCCGGTAGCGCACGGCGAACTCCAGCAGGGTGGTGCCGGCGCCGACGGGCAGGTGGAAGGCGAAGCGGTCGGTCTGGCCGTCGGGGGCGGCGGCGGGCGGCGGCAGGTAGGCGGCGGGCACCTCGTTGCAGCTGGCCCAGCGGTTGAGCGAGTAGCGCACCGAGACGCTCTTCTCGTAGGCCAGGTTGAGGACGCGCACGGCGCCGCGCAGCCCCGCCGCCTCGGGCCGCACCCACTCCAGCTGCACCTTGCGCTCCCGCAGCCGCTCGCCGAAGGCCGCGCCCGCCCCGGGCTGCGGCGGGAAGAGCGGCTCCAGCACCGGCGCCGGAGGCCCGAACAGCACCGGCTCCAGCTCGCCCAGCGCCGGAGGCTTGCGCGTCTTCAGCAGGTCGGCGCCGCGCGGGAGAGGCGAGGCGGCCAGGGGAGGCACCGGAGGCCCCGGCGGCGGCACCCGCGGCACGTCGGCCTGGCAGAAGGTGCGCACGGCGGTCAGCNGGCTCCGCCGCCTCGATCTCCGGGCTGCAGCCGCCCTTGCAGGGCTCGGCCAGGCTGCCGTAGAGGCAGGCGCTGCAGCTGAAGTTGCGCGGCAGGTAGAGGCGCGGCGGCGGCGGCGGCGGCGCCGGCACCGAGGCGTGCAGGGAGGCGGCCTTCTCCATGCTGCTGCTGCTGTCGCCGCCGCCGCCGGACGGGCTTCCTCGGCGGGGGGAGAGGGGAGGCGTCACTCGGCGGCTCCGGCCGGCTCTCCCGGGCTGCGCATGGCCGCCGGCCGCTCGGATCAGGCTGCCCGCCCTTCCCCGCTTCTGCCGCTGCGGCTCCTGCAGTCGGCTAGAGAGACGCCGGGCCGCGGGTCGGCCTGGCTGCCCCTGCCGGTTCTGGCCGCTCGTCCTCCAGCCTCCCCGCGTCCTTCAGCCGGCGAGGGCGGCGCGCGGGGATCCCCCGCGGGAAGAGCCGCTGGCTCAACGCGGCGGCCGGGGCCTGCGGGGCTGGGCGGCCGGCCACCCCCGGCGCTCCTTCGCCGGACGAAAGGCCGCTTCTTTTGAGCCGGAGATCGCGGAGGGCCGATCCGGGCGGCGGCGACGCAGCCCGCGAAGGAGGGAGACGCCGCCTCTCCTGCGCTTGTCTTGGCAAAGTTCGGGGCCCGAAGCGCAGCTCCCCCCCTCTCGCCGGTCAAACCATCATCCGAGGCGCGACCCGCTTTGAGGGTGGGTCGTGCGAAGTCGTGCGACTCCAGTCCTCCCGTGTTGGACTCTTGATGCTTCCACCGAAGGAGGGTGACGTGGGAAACGGGAGGGAACCTGGGCAGCTGGTGGGAGGGAGGACGTGACTTCCCTCTGAAACGCGGAGGCTTCGGCAGCGCTGCTTTCCCCCCTTCTATAGCTTCTGAATCATTTCCCATCTGGAGGTGATTCTAGCCGGCGCTCGATTTGAATGCGAGTCTCATCTAGAAAGTTGTAGGTAGCTAGATCGACGGTTTTTTTTGGGGGGGGGGAGGGAGGGGGGGCGAAGAGTGGATGAGCTCCTGAAAATGAATACTTAGGTATTTGTGCTTTCTCATTCTTATTGGCCAAGTGGGATTGGGCACAGAAGGAATTTGTCTCGGGTGGGTAAGCTCTCAGTGTACATAAAAGTGATACAGTAGGTTGTATATCATAGATCATAGTTACAATCATTAATCATAAGATACAGCAAGTGATAAATCATAGATATCATAGGAGAAGGTAGTAGAAAAGATGAGTAGACAAAAAAGATGATGATGATGATGATGATGATGATAATAATAATAATAGTAGTAGTAGTAGTAGTAGTAGTAGTAGTAGTAGTAGTAGTAGTAGTTAGTAGTAGTAGAAAGACTGTGGAAAAAGCAAGCAAAGGTAGTACCAATAGTCATAGGCACCTTGGGTGCAATCCCAAAACAACTGGAGCACCACTTGAACACCATTGGCATTGACAAATTCACCATTAGTCAATTGCAAAAGGCGGCCTTACTAGGAACTGCTTCCATCCTACGACGATATCTGTAATACCATCAAACATCCACATCTGCCTATCCCAGGTCCTTGGGAAGGACTCGATAGGTAGGCAAAAATGCCAAATCCAGTCTGAACATCTGGCTGACTGTGCGATGATCAATAATAATATTAATAAAGTTGAAAGGGACCGTGGAGATCATCTAGTTCAACCTCCTGCTCATTCAGACAAATGGTTTGTCCAGTCTCTTCTTAAAAGCTTCCAGTGTTGGAGCACTGACAGCTTCTGGAGGCAGGTTGTTCCACTGGTTAATTGTTCTCACTGTCAGGAAATTTCTCTTTCGTTCTAGGTTGCTTCTCTCTTTGGTCAGTTTCCATCCATTGCTTCTTGAGAAGGTAAGGATAATATCAAGACAGATAATATCAAGACAGAATAAAGATAAGATCGGCATATTCCTCAGCAAAAGGGAATCCCGCAAGCCAGTTTCCTGATTCGTGCATCTCGATCCTTTCAACAGTCTTCGCTCATGATTTTTCACTAGTAGATTCAGATAAAATGGACATTCAGGCGTGATAAATGCACCACTGGGGGGCTCTTTCTATAAATGCATTTGTCCTTGGGGGGAAGATCTGTTAG